TCACACATCAGAATGTGTGGAGTTGAAAAAAAAACCTACGTATTTCTTAAAGCTTTTCAAGTGAAATAATAGCTTAATATGGTAACTTCTGATAAGAAAGTGTTTTGATGGGAGTTAACGACCCTCTTTAGAGGGGTGATTTAGTTATCGTAACGTCAGTGAACAATCGTGTGGTCCACGAATTATAAACTCATCCACTATAAAAGGAAAAGTGCACAAAGAAAGCACTACAATGTGCCAAAAGACTAGGAGTAGATACTACTTTGACATTTTCAGTGATGGTATAGTGACACCTCAGTCTCTTCGGACGCGAAAATGGTCTCTTATAATTATCATACAGGGATTGCTAGCTTTTTTCCAAACTGAACATTTTAGCGCATTTCTATTACTCTAAGGTTCTCGACTTGCGTGGTGCTAAGGAAGGTCCAGATTTTATCTACACAATTGAATTAGCTTCCTCTCTTGAAAAAAGAACAACGTAATTTCCATTCATATGAAAATGAAAATTTAATTTCAAAAATTATACACGTATATATTTTCTAAAAGAGAGAGAGAGGGGAAAACAAGCACGTCTTTCCCTTTACTCGAAATGAAATTATGAAAAAAGAACAATAAAAGGAGCATGGATTCCTAAAAAAAGAGGTTGATAGTTACTACAATAGTATATTATGAAATTTACAATAGTACAGAATAATCAAATAAATATCCTTTAATTTTTGTAAGACATTTTTGTATTGAGGTCATAATTATGATAATTTGCTTCTCGCTGGTGTATTTTTAAAGAATTTCTTTACTTCATTTTCAGAATTGTTGACAAAATAATCAGTAAAAGATGTTTGATTTTGAATGTACAAAGTCAATTTTAAAATTAGCCATTGAATACAATCTTTATACCTTTAAATATGCAATACTTTTCCTCGTTTATTCACTCCTTAAAAAAGTACTCCGACAATGGACAAATATATATACTAAGTAGTAAATATACGTATAATAGAATTTTATTCATTTAACAGAGCAAAGCAAAGAAGACGCAATGACGTGTGTCCCTTGATTTAAATGCACTCATAATCAAATAATTAATAAAATGACTTCTTAAATGTAATACTATTAAGTCGTGGTTAACGGTCCATATAACAGGTCCTCGTATTGGGTAACCAGAGGTCTGAAAGTGAGAGTTTAATATTAACAAGCAAGGACCACATACATGTACAAGTATATTGAAAACCGTAGACGTGTGTTACCAGTTTCTTCGCTACGGAAACTTGTATGGAAGGATATTGTAGATAAATTGAACAGAAAATTTGTCTTTACAAGTTCAAAACATAAGTGATGCTTTTTAGAGTAATCTATTTAGATAAATATTTAGTGGACCGAAATAATACGCAAAATGGGGAACAATTAAATTCTTATATGCGAAATTTTGGAGATATACTATAAATTATAGGATAACATTCTGTTTACAAAGTTTTGGAGTATATTATAGACTATAATATACTCCAAAACTTTGTAAACAGAATGTTATCCTTCCACTCTCAGCAAAGATCATTTTAACTTGCTGTAAAAAGTAACTTAAATAAACTGTTGAAATATCCGTTCACGTGTGGGACTGTATAACTGAAATATCTCTTTGTCCAAAAATAATTTGCAATCCCAAATTGATATTATAAATTTTTATATTATGATTTGTAATTTATATATATGATGCTTTTCCTTAGAAAATATTAGAATTTAATTATAACTTTGTGCAGATATAAAATGGTAATCTATAACGTCTGTATTTTTGATGACGATAGGTGAAACATTTTTTGAAAGTTTTGCCAGTCTGTAAAACTAACATTGTTAAAAATCATTAACAGTGCATTGCAATTCAACGTGTCAGTTTGGCCGCATTGACTGCTAAATTGTTTACATAAGGCAAATGCCATGGTGATCTGTTGGAACAAGACGACGTGTGTCATCATCTTTCAAACAGAGGTCATTTTAAAAGGTGTGAAACGGGTGACAGCTACAATAGAACTAGAGTTAGTCTTATCCTGTCCTCAAAGCCATAGGTGTTACAGGTAAATATTGTTACCGGTATTTTACGGAAAATGCCACACACACTTATCAGCTAAGAAACACACGGAGATTGACTCTGTTTCAGTTACATTTTTCACGCTTTGATTTATAAAAATACATACTTACAAATCACATCTCAAGATGTACACCGTAGGGTCTTGACACACACGATGTTACGGTGTTGTGTTACCCGTGCCATCTATACTACAGTTGTGAGTCATAAGAAAATGGACATCTGTATCGCTTGAGGTCAAAAAACGTGGGATAGGGCCATTGTTAGAGGTTAATTACGGAGAATTATCCTTTTAAGAGATACCACCCTGCATGATGAAGGAGGAGGAATGGTTTTTTCCCCTCCACGTAAAACGTACAAATAATCAAAAATCTTGGTCAAATATCCAAGGAAGAACTGACATTCGGATTTTGTCTTAGATCCCCAAAAAAGAAAACGAGATGAAATTTTGATCTGTAGAAGAAACACAGCAATAAGATGAAAGCATGAAAAATTGATGTTCGGTTGAAGAGTAATACAATAAAGTGCTGGAGAATTCTGCAATGTGTTGAAATGGCACTCCTACGCCACAAGGAACAGATATGTTCTAGTAAACATAAATGTAGAAAGACCGAAGTAAAGAGACTGTGAAGTAAAAGAGTAATAGCGTAAAAAATGTCCAATTTTGTCATTTCCTAAAGGCCAACGTAATTGGTAACATAAGTTTGAGAACATCTAAGAAAGAATATAGGGTAATAGGTTCCTCATTTTAAGCAATTTTTAGCAGTTTAATGCCAATGAAACAATTTTATTATACACATAACATACATATCTATAAACGGGATAATTTTACAACTTGGTAATAAAAATACCAGTAAATAGGGTATACAGGTTACAATAAAAATACCAGACGATCGTCTTGGAATATGACGGTGCTCGTTTTCACTCCAAGAACAGCCAGAAATGAACGGTTTGAATGTTTTTAAAAGAATGTTAAATTGGTGTGATCCAAAGTAAACACATACAAAAAGTTATGTTACCGTCAATTTCTTCATTCACCAATTAGATTATAGTTTTCTTTTAATAACAGAGAAGTTAGTAACAAAATGAATACACAGTGCAAAGAAGGGTGTTTCTACGTTACCTTACGCCCTTTACGAAACATAAAGAGAGGACTTGCAAACATTTTTCATTGGGTTCGATTTAAAACTGCAATAAAGTGCCAATGCCCTCGTTAAATATTTGGCTGTTAACGTATTTCATTATACATCTTTGATAATTAGTTGATAGTGAACCGGGTTCTCCTGCGTTACGTCTCTGTGAGTTTGAATGCATTAATCTAGAACCTGACTGCTATAATGGTACACAGAATATTGTCCTGTTACGAGTCCCTAGTTTATTCGTAATGAAGTTCACAAAGACTGGATATTAAGCTTTCTTCTTTACCTTTATGACATTTTGAGAAGTGAACAATCGGGAATCTAACATTTAATCAAACTTGCACAATTGGTGCATTGTAAAAGTTTTTTAAAATGTAAGTAATTATGTTGAGAATGAATGATAATTGGGATCCCCCTCCCACTAAACATGTATACACGTTACACAAACCGAGCAGAGGGTGACTTAGCATATTACAGACTAGTAATAAAAATGGAACAATTTATGCACGAAAATTTTAACACCAAGCATCGAATTCTTGTCCTTGAATGAAATATAAGCATACACATCTTTCCTGTCAGTGAATTGTAAGCATCCTATAAATTGAAGTTCCCTGACTTTGTGACCCAAGTGAACACACTACCGATTTAGAATTTACATCTGTATAGTAACTTCCATTTCTTCAGAATTTACATTTGTATAGTAACTTTCATGGACTATCATTTTCATCTCTATTTATTTATGTTTTCTCCCGTACTTGACAAATCAGTTAAAAATAAGATTTTTCATCTTTAAGCAGTAACTGAAGTACAAACTGTGCCAAGAATATCTTAATTTCTTAACAAATCTAGAAATAACCAAAACTCCCCAGGTCGGACAAATGAGCGCTAATTCAAGGTTTATATCTTGGCGTGCACTACCAGATATGACTCGAAGACAGCGTGACACATGATGATAATGCGGCAACAATAACGTGATTTAAAAAAAGAATCCTTAACGATGCGTTTTGCCTTCTAACCTAAATATTTTATATGAATTATCGATGCTCCATACATCTATCGCTACACGCTTCTGACCTTCTACAAAATCGATATGTATAATGTAGAATATTTCTCTCGTTGCAAATGCTAATACATTTTAAATTCAGATATTTTCCTATTAGGGGAAATTTGAAATTTAAATATTTGTATCCTAAAAATGCTCACAGGTACTCAAAGATTTTCATGATTAGAATTGACAATGGGCAATTAATTTTATACATCTATAATAGCGATGTCCTACATATTTTTATTTAACAAACCCATGGTTAGATTTTCAGAAAATATGTAATATATATGGTTTACCAAATGTATATGGTACGAACAGAGTGTCAAATGTTGTTAAATTCATGGAAATAATGTCAACTTCAAATGAAAAAAATGCTGAAAAACCTTTGTATGTTTATCGAAAAAAAATATGCTGCTGTCTGTCCTCTTTGATTTGTTTTCCCCACTCTTATTTTCCCCCTTACTCTTGTGTCATGTTTTCTATATTGTATATGTACCTCTGACCAGACCGTATATACTGTATTCAGTGTATTGTATATAAAATGTATCTGTATGTTGTTAATACACATTACCCCATGTACCAATATGTTGGTCTGAGTGAAATACTAGTAAACTGAATTGAACATATGTTATTCAGTTAATAAATTTCAAAATGTTCTATTTTCCCGTTTTATTTTACTTTAAATTATCAATGCGTAGAAATTAAAAAAGTGAAAAAAGAAGAAAGACCAATTTTAAGATTTCTGTAACAATAACGATTTTAATAAGTTAACAACTGAACGTACAATTAGCATTCATTTAGCATTTACACATATAAATACAAGCACATCTTCATCACAGATACGGTGTGTATGAGATTCTTTTCACATTCTCCGAAGATTGTCCACTTTATGCAAAGTGGTACTGCTCCAAAGGCGCAGCAAAGTGGACAGATCGTAAAACTTTTGAACACAATAAGAACTACATTTGCAAAAGAAGTAAACGAAGAACCGCTGACAAGCGGCTTGTTAAAAAAAAAAACCTTCCAACAAAGAAGGATCGTTGCTTCTGGGTGTGCTTGCATTGTCACGAGACTACATACATGTAACCAATAGGAACTTAAAAAAACGAGCAGATTAACAAAATAAAAAAAAAGCATTGAGTAGATTTTTGTCTTTGCAATTCTAAGTTTGTAATTCTCAAATGGCTAAATTCAGTGCTCTTTGTACGAGCGAGCTTGCAGTAACTGGCGTTTTTATTCATAGTTCAAACAATTCAGTTGAGCAGCAATTCTGATGCACATCTGTGAAAAATGAGGTGCGTTTTTTTCGCTTACTTTTTGAACACAAAAGGATAAATTGATAAATAAGCGTCAAGTTCGTGTCACGCACACTTGCAGTCCTCTACAATCATGTCCGGGTAATCCGTGAACTGATATTTCCCATCACTGTCCTTATGAAGAATTGTGAGTGGACTGAGCTTTGATGGAACGCAACATGGCTTAGGGAATTTGTTTGGATATAAAGTATGCAGTCTTGCCTGTATTCCTGCGAATGTGTTTGCCATTTTGAAGCGATCCGGACAACTCCCATCACAGTAGTGGGCTTCATATTCGGGTGGTGCGATTATCCAATCGTCCCAGTGCAAGTCACTGAAAGCTATGGTCGTCGTGAAGCGACAGCACCTACTTTCTCCGTCTCCTTTGACGCAGTCTCTTCTTTCTAAATTATTTCGCCGTTTGACCCGTTTTAATATTGAACGTTCGTGCGTTTTTATTTCTAGAATTGGAACAACAATATTGTCTTTTGTAAATGTATTGAATTTTGAGCTCTTCTTTTCTGTAAAGTCTAGAGAAGGGAAAACTAATTGACCAGTGTCGAGGCCATCTGCATAAATTTCTACTCCGTTGTTTAATTCTGGATCATCTATCCAGTCTTGAACAATCTTTGTAATGTCGAAAATTTCCCAGCCGTCTCTACTCACGTCAATAGTTCTAGATTCCAGTAATGTTTCCAAAACTTGATTATTGCTGAAAATATTTAGTTCAACTTCAGTTGTAGGTATGGAAGTCAATGAAGAATGCTTAAAAAGTTTCAGTTTTGCACTAGATACAGCTATTTCTGTCATGTGGTCGTCAGAATGGGTGACGTCCGGTTGAATGAAGATTCTCACTCTTCTCTTTTCAGCTTTTTTGTTTTCTGCAAATTACAAAAGACATCAAAATTAATTTCTCAAAATAAAATAAAATTCTACAAGTCTGATAATCTTTGAAAATATTTCGTATATAACAAGACTATTGAGTGAACGTTAACAATAAACGTTTTAGAAGATTTTACCTAGAAGTAAAGTTAGAAAAAGACTTCAGAAACTTGTTTAATGCAAAGTAGAAGGAAACATATGATTTATTTCCAATCGTGGACCCCTGACATGTTTTGTAATCACAGCTATGTGCTGTACATGGGTAGATAAGCTATTGTTTCTAAAGATCTCTTGACTTAATCTAAGTATTTAAAATATTTGGCTGAAATCTTATGAACGCGATGACCCAAAACTTGGAATGTTTGTAAATATGGCAGACAATCGTGGGACCTGTATCTCATTTATTATAATTGATTTACGGGCTTAAGTTATTCTAGTCCAGCTAATAAAAATAGCTCTCTATAATTTCGTAAACAGTGGTATATCCACAGATGATTTTTTATAAAAAAAATGAAATGAAAAATGTATATTAGTTAAGAAGGGACTGGGTGAATCTTATCTTGAGAAGGAATTCGTCAGTACATTTTCGCACGATTTTACTTGGTGCTACTAATAGCTCTAGACTGATAATAGGAGGTACGAAATATAGGACCGCGACGTTCGGGTCGTCACGAACCTCATCAAAAACACTCGAAGACCCTCTGAAATAAATCCCGGGGTCAATCGGGTTCACTGAGACGGAAGTGAACAAGCTGTGGCAATATCACACATTATAGCATCACATGTAAAGCATCATGTACGCTGAATGTTACCGTCAAAAATCCCTGCAAGTTTTATTTTAATTTATGTTTAATTTTTAATTTAAATAAAAAATTGATATCAATGACTTAGATGTGGGGGAACAGGGGGCTTTTTAATTTTAATCATTTGAAATAAAAATCATAAAAGCTTTTGTGGAGGATTTATGCTGATTTCATTGAAAATATATTGAAAATGTTTACTTTTTAAGTCTTTTTCAACATCTGAACATTTTTCAAACTTGTTTACATATACTACATGAAAATATTGAGGGCGGTTTTATTATTCATGTTTAAAGAAAATTTCCGCGTGATTCGAAGCAATACAAATAGTGTTGATTGATGTATAGAGAATATATACAAAAAATTTGAAAGAATATTCGAATGTCGGTTTTCCATTATTAAATGTCAAACGCATTGTTAATTCAATTCAAACATCATTTTCAATTCTCGTTTGCCATTTAGAACAACTATTCAAATAATATTTCACCGTTACTACGTGGATTGATACATTTTGGACTGATTGAAATTCTTAACAAGAAATGAATAAATTGAGGTTTGCTGCGTACCTCTGCTCGGCATTTCTAACGATTATGAATTGTTGTATCGGAATTGTACTTGTTAAAGTGTTTTATCTGTCACAAACCCGTGTCGCTCTTTAGGACCAAAGAACAGTCAATAAGAACTATTCTAACTGAAGCTACTGGTCTTGTCTGTTTAGATATTGTCGGCATTGCCAATTTCACGAACAGACAGTAGAGGTCTTCTAATATATAGATGCCATATAAAATGGTATTAACAGTGAAATGTCTAGCACTTGATATCCATCACATAATTTGCAAATAATTTGACAAGATTAGAAATAAACGTTACATGTTTGTGCATTACAAGGCATACACACTTAGAAAAACGTCTTTTTGGTACATCTACTAATTTGAAAACTATTTGCAGAATCATTGCCGAGGTTTATTACCCTGATTTTCATTTAAGTATTCCAACATCTTCGTCATTTAAACCTTGAAATTAGCATTTCATTTATGCTCATTGAGAATTAAAGACATTAAAAGATCTTTTCTTGAAAAGACAAAATTATTTACGATTTCCGTCCTCACCACGTGTCCTTATTCTATATCGATATGGTCCAGAATATTTTGTTTATAACCTAGACACATTTTTGGATTGTTAAGAAATCTGGGATAAAAATAAATATCTAGAGTGTATTTAGCCGAAAAAACGGTGTATCCTGTCCAATTCATCTTCCGAGCATTCATTTTCTTTAGGTTACAATCTAACACGATCAGAATTCTAACCAATATATTATGTACTTTAAAGAGGGTAAAAAATCAGGCATTCGATTAACAATAGAGGATCTGGTAAAACTCAATCTGTAGGAGCTTACTACAGCTGAACTATACTGAATGTAAGATCCCTTACATTATTTAATACGCTGCCGATTATCCTGCAATGAAATAATTCATGTGAAATGCGAAATTCTCAATAGACCATTGGTATTTTAGCTATTTACATGCACAGGTATTCCAATAAATATTTTGACGCTTTTAGCGACATAGACTTGATCTCTTTAACAGCTTTATTCAATATTCATAACACTCAAGGAGATGACAAGCAATACTCTCTCCACGCGATTTTGTCAGCTTCGACGCGTGGATATTATACGCACCGTTTGCTTGATTGAATATCTGCTAAAATTTAGATTTTTATTACAAACATTTATGAGATGTCATTGTTATGATGTGCCATTAAAAGTGAAAGTACAAGGTGATAAAATTTGATATGGAATATCTAACATAGTCTTCATTTTTCAAATGCCTGAAACTTTATTTAAACCAATAAATGCCCATTCGCGTACTTTAGAAGTTGTCTAGTGTCCCCATTGATGTTGAAAGCCCCAAGTCGTAAAATACAGTCACCGGAGTATCTTACCTGGCTTAATTGAATAACGGTACATTTTAGTGGTGCCAGGAATAGGCTCAGACTCCTCGTGATATTTCCTGTCCTTTTTTCGCATATAATTCCTATACATTTGTATTAACTTCCTTTTCTCTGCTATTGTTTCATTAAATGCAGTCACTCTAGGCGCACTTTTATACTGCAAACCATCGAGAATTTTTTGCTTAAAAAGTTCAAGTCGCTGTAAATGAATTTGCTGGTCAGAATCAACGGAAGTGGGCACTGAAGCTGGCTTAGCGACAACCAGTGTGGTCAACTGCACCATCGTTATCAACACCGTTGGAAAAGTACAATCATAGTAAAATTTCATAGCGTGTATAGCAAATCCCTCCTAATGATCCGTGTCTGTTGCCAGAGCAGTAGTCAAGTTTCTGAGCAAACAACGGACAGATTGTCATAATAAAATGTTATAATTTCGGATAGGTATTTGAACAATAGTTTGTTTGAAACGATATATATATACACACGTAGCCTGATTTTTAACTCTGGGTTGTTCTCTTCATTGAATATTATTTTGTACATTGATTTGGCCCCGCCTCCGACCACGTGGAAATGTTTATACTTGTTGCCCAATAAATATTCTGATATGATTGTAACTTTATACTTGAAAAATGAATAATCATTGGTTGATGCAGAAGCTGACGTCATTTCATTCATTTAACACTCTTTAAGAAACCGCTGATTGATATGTAATTCTTCAGAATCTGTCTGCAGTGATACACTGTGCCAATATTGAAAAAAAAAATGTTGTTGAAATATGGGTCAGATTATGGATTCGAGTAACTATATAGCCGCGCTACTCTCTTAAAAATGCGTAATTAGTGATAATAAAATTGTCTGGCATTTACATTTCAATGTACTTTTAAAAATTCAAGGTTAGGTTAATGCTCCGTTATATTCATATTTCACTACGTATTCTTTATTACATGCATAATATGATTTATGTAAAAAATAAGCTATTATTATCCAGACTGGATAGCTCACTCATTAAAGCTGTGGATTAGTGGTTCACTGGAGTATTTAAAACTATTTTAACGTCAGGAACTCTTCCAGAGTTTCTCTCCGTGTTAAGCGCGTCACGCCCTGCATTCACTCTAGTTAATTGACATAATGGCGATTTATGACGGCGTATATTATCTTACATACAGACAGTCAAACGGCACATTCATCTCATCCTCCCGACCTGTTTACAGTGGGATTACGACGTACAAAACACAAGAACATCGTCTTCTAAAGCCCAGTTTGACGAGGCGTTCGGCTCAATGTTCGACCATTTATCTATTTTATAAGACATAAATTTAAATCAAATATTATACGATGCTTAATATTCGAACCCTATACGTACCGTACCTTGGAATACCCGTCACTTCAGATAACGATCTAATCTTGTCATACTGTTTGATGAAACACTAGATTGGATTTTAAATATCTTTAGTGACTTGGATGAAATTCTGCAAAAAAATCAATTCAGAAGTTCTATTTTAGAGGCTCTATCGTTATATTTAACACTCGAAGCTATTTAAAGATTGTCAAATAAAAGGAGTTTGTGGCCTCTCAATACAGGGACATTAACTGGGTTCCTTCACGTAAACAAGAGACTTGCTATCTACACACTTGTCTTTGACTTGTTGTCATCTTGTGCATTTATAGAAAATAAAAAAAAGTAACTACTTGGATAATTTGTTTGTAATTCAATTGTTTTGTGTATAATTCCAATCTTCATTGTATCTATTGAATTCCTGTGTTTTGATTGGACGAGAACACGTTTAAGAAAATTTTTACACATCGATAAATTTTTTTTTCAATCAGAACTACTTTTTTGACTAAGCCTCTACATGTAGTTTATCGTATAAACAACGAAGCAGTTATTTATTGTCTGTTTTGGATAAATTATAAATACAAGAAACTTCAAATTAATTAATTAAAACAAAACTGGCGACATGCTAAGCTGCCCAGCTGACGGACGCCATGAAAATGTTAATGTCACTGTTCGATCACGAGTGTGAATTTTAAAAATCGCTGTCTCAACGTTCATAATACGAAGATAATCAACTCAGTTTGTATCGTTTAGACAGGGAAAAGAAACGTACCTCAAACTCTTGCCCTATAAGCATCAAATTCATATTTACTATATTGTTCCTCAATCTTTGAACAAACAAGTGCAAATCGAAGGCGTCGTCGGTCTGCAACTTTCGCTATGAGAGTTGTCGTTTATGTCAACATGGCCATGGTCAAGGACGAACTATTCTGAAGTAAACTCGTAATTACGATATTTTTTGACTTAAACAACATTCGATAAGTCTTTATAAGTTTATTTATAAATTGTTTTGACAATTTAAGCTGAACTCTATCGAAATTCATCTCGATTACGTTCCTTTGCGGTAAAATGTATTCCTACGCCGTCCAGAACTAACGGATTGTATGGAGGCCTCAAAGAGAAATAATTTGAATATTTTTAAAAATTCGATATTGGAATTATAAGAATTAAACGTCCTTTTTGAAAAATTTATCGATGTGTAAACTCTTGACATTTTACTCACAAACTTAACATAAAAGTGCTTCGCACTTTTATTCATTTGTGAGTAAAATGTCAAGAGTTTACACATCGATAAATTTTTCAAAAAGAACGTTTAATCCTATAATAAATATATACGTCATTATATAAACGTGGAACAATAAGTAAATAAAGTAAAAAAAAAAAATTCTTCAAAATAAGGAAATGTATCTTAATCATCAATTCTATTTATTTTAATAGTAATAAATAAATAATGTCCTCCTACCCCCTTTCTAATTAAACGATAAGTAAAAAATAATGTTGTGAATAAAATAGACATAACAAAAAAAGTTTGTTTTGAAATTAAAATTCGTGGGAGGACACTTACTCTGTCCAAACCGCAGTGAGACAAGTGGACAATAAAAGTTCTGTCTGATTACATTCATTCATCATTTCTCACTGTGATTTCCTCTAAATGCACCGAAATAAAAAAAACTTATAAATATATCTACATTTCTAAAAAGCAGTATCATATTTGTTTCATAATAAATTTTGATAAAAAATGATTGTTTTAATATAAAATATAGACCTTCCCGTAAAGACAGTTGTCCCATAAAGACGGAAAAATAAATAACTAAAAAAATAAAATTAAAAATTATTTTAAAAAAATACAAATAAAATTTTTAAAAAATTGTAGAATAAATTTGTTGAATAAATACTAATACGAATTTAGATACAGATTCTCTGTAGTGATTTTCATGTAAAGAAAGTACAGAGTACTGATTTTCTTGTACTGGAAGATAAAGAAAAAGATCCAACTCGCATGTTTGTCAGGAACTGTGGTATTTTAAAGGTCTTTGAAAATCATTATGATATACCAAATCCTTAATAGTTTAAAAACTTTTGACGAAATTTTGATTTTTTAAACTAAGGTCAAGGATATTAGGTCTGTTGTTAGGTGTCTGAAAACAAACCTTACTACAAGTAGTATGACCCCCCATGCTAAACCCTTCTCTTCTCGTTGTTCAAAAGTTTAAAATTTTGGTAAAAATACTTGAAAACGATAAAGTAAATCAAAGATAGGTCAAGGCAACAATGCCAGCGATATGAATATTTTTGAACAGGACTTACGATAATCAAAATACATTTATTGACTGGTTTCGAGGGCAACATGTTTTTTGTCAGATCCAAGAACTAAACAGTTTGATTCGAGTGTCGACAAATTGCATTTTGCCCGAGAACACAGTCAATAAATGTTTCGTTATACCTTTTTTTTTTTTTTTTTAAATTATTTATTTTTGACATGCATGTATCTTGTATTGTCTTCCGTGCTGAGGTAAAAGTCGGTCAATTCCTTCACTGTTCATGGAACACCAACGAACGTTAATACGATTTAAAAGTGTAGCTGATTATTTAACGTAATAGAGTAGGTGGAGATAACGAACATTATTCAAGCTCAAAAGTCCCTTAGACTTTAGCCAATGCAAATTTAGAGCAGAGTAATCCCGTTAGATAGCTTTTAACTTGATGATAAATTGTATTTGCTGACAAGGTCATTGTATCGACCATAGAACTTACGAAATGACGACTTCAAACGAGACTGTTGATATACTTGTTTCATCAACTTGTTTCTCAATAACGTACCTCGTTTTAGGAATTGTTCAAACATAAGCGTGCTCTTGTGTATCGAATCAACTGAGAGATCTACATGTAAAACCCGGACATATATGCAGGGGATGAAGGTTTATTGCTGCATATGTAAGGGAAGTCGACAATTTAAAAGTTAAAGTCATCACGTTTATCATAAAGCTTGGTTGTTAGGTTACCGAAGTAAGCAGTCCAACATTTCATAGACAGGTCCAATATCTCTCTCAGCGGTCAAACAGAGATTTTTTTTATGAACGCTCAGTTAAACATTGGAAATGTTAGACTCGTATAGATTTGTATAAAAAGAACTTTTCAAAGTCTTTAATACCGTTGCTTTTTCTTTTAAAGTTGAAAATAAGAGTCCGAGAAACATACAGCAAATACATGTATCCAAATAATGATTAGGAGCTGCTTCGAGGAAGATTGTTTCAAACATGCAACAGTAAATGGTCAACTATGCCACCTTGGCTGTATTAAGATTCGAAGAAATTCAAATCTGTTGATTTTGCTCTGTGTTGCCTTCTTTGTACTGTTTCCTTCATTAATTATAATTGCAAACCCACTTAGAACTACGAAAGGGACACAAAGGCCATGTGAAATACAGTGACTGAGATGCAAGATTTTATTAAACTGCCGGCTTAGGCAATGGATTTGGTACATGTAGATCGAGTTTTGAATTGTATTTCAGAGGTATGGTCTGAAACTTAAGTTCATTGAAAATTAATTGGTAATCTTCACTTGTAATACATACTAGTAAGTTTGTAATGATTGGTGAAACTAAGGTAATATACTCTTTTAGACAATCCAACTTTCATAGCATAAACAAGTGAGTCATTAGTACGAACGTGCTAATATTTTATTTAATATTAAAATTTATATATTGTATCACTTCAGGATTCACTTTTGTATATAAAAAAATGTGACGTTATATAAATTTAAGTACAATATCATATATATTTCTTAAGGAAGTCTTGTCATATTTATTATATTTAAAAATTTACAGAAATTTTAACAGATTAAGGAAGACAATACCACTTAGTGACAGTATGATTCAATTCGACCGTTTTAATTTCGAAGCAAGGTCAGGTCAAGGTCATTATCTTCTTAATTGACATTAAGCATAAAAAATACTTTTAGGAAACATCTTACGAGGGCCGTTCAATAAATAATGTCATCGGTGCTCGGAAAGATACAAAAAACGCCTTTCAATGATTTAGTCTTGATGACTTCACTTAAATATTCTCTTGTAATTAAAAAATATGTCTGTAACAGTTTTATTCAATTTCTAATTGTTTTTAGAACACATTTTTGAGTATGACCCTTCGTATAC